CTGTAGTCACCATCTGCAGAGATTTTGGAGCCCAAGAAATTAAAGCCTTCACTGTTTCCATTATTTCTCCATCTATATGCCAAGAAGTGATGAGTAAGCACCATTTTGCTGACAATCACCTGTAGGCCATACACATGCGAGCTCCCTTCCGTCTCCACAGCCCTGTCTTCTACCACCCACCTACTGCCTCCTTGGTGTTCTTTGAACGCTCTGAGCGTGTGCCTACCTCTTGACCTTTGCACTTCCTCATCCCTTGCCTGGAATATTCTTGCTCCTTTTACGAGCATGACTGTCCTGCTGGCCTCTTCTAGAGTTCTATCCCAGTGTCACTCTATCCCCAGGCCCTCATCAAATCCCCAATTTAAAGTGTCACCACATATACTTCTCCCAGTTCCAAACCCCCAATTTGCTGTAACAATTACCTGACACAACTTTATATTTTACTAGTTTATTTTATTTTATTTTTTGCTATCTTTCTTCATTAACAAGACTATGAAGCCCAAGAGGGCTTGCATTTTCTTTTAGTTTGTTCACTACTGTATCCCCAGGGCCTAGAGCATTGCCTGACAATGGGTATTTAAAAAACTGCTAAGTGGATGAATTCATGGATGAACCCAAAAGAACTGAACCTTTACTATGCCAACTATTTGCGTGATAAGAGATGTTTAGAGTGAAGAAAGAAGTAACCCAACAATCACAGCTCTGTTGGTCAATTCTGGGAAGAAGTGCAGCCATAAGGGTACTTTGGAAAACAAAAGAAGGGGACCTAGCCCTGAGAGGGGCGGCCCTGAGTTCTGAATTATGTAATGGGTGGAGGAGGGAAGACCGGAGAGAAAAAGGCCATTAAAGGAACAGACAGCCAGAGAGCAGAGGTGTAGAGATGAGAAAGCATGGCTTTTTCAACTGAGGAAAGGTATGAACCTGAAAGCCTTTTAAGAAAGGCCCCTCAGGCATCACTATGCAGAAAGGGTTGAAGAAGACTAACTGCACGGTGGCTTTTAGCTGGGTGTGACATTAGCTTAGCTAAGAGAGATGAGGGTTGAACAAGAGCAGAGCAATGCTGCTGAAGAAGAGGGTGAACTGGAGAATGTTTTCAGGTTAAGTATCTGGAGGAGTAAAAGATCACCCTGAAGCCCGACTAACCCACCATTTGGTAAAGGCAGTCACTAAATGGAAACCACAGTATTCCTTTAACTTACTTGACTGCCATTTTTATACATAATATTTTATATATAATCTTTAAAAATGGAATCTAGTGGGGCGGGAAAAGGAAAGAGAATCAGTGCACTGTATAATTTGCTTGTTTATAACTTTTCGCTTAACTTGTCATCACTCTCTATAGTCTTTTCTGAAGGAACATGAAAACTTAGGTGCCAACATTTATATGCAGATGAGTGATGCTATTACTCCACACTTAGAAGTTTTCAGTGGCTCATTTGATTCTTATGTTTTGAATAGTTATGTTCACTATGCAAGATCCTTTAATGAAAAAAGCTCATACATTCTGACCAAAAGCTTATGTCAAAGTGAGTATATTTTAGGATATAGTTTAACACTTCTAGAATTGAACTTAAATATAATTTATCATATTGAGATTCTGAATGTTACACAATTTTCAATCTTCAGATAAGGATAAAGAAATGATAACAGAAAATAAAAGAGACTAGATTATTCTCATATTAATTGATTGTTTACAAAGTAAATGCAAACATAAAAGTGCCCGCCAAGAAAATACTTAAGAAAGGAACAACTCATTGATTGATAAAAATGAACTAAAAGATTGACTCAGTTTTGAAAACTATTTGATTCAAGCTTTTAAGACATGGGATGATGATAATGGATTTATTTTAGAAACCTTAGAATATGAGAACAGTTTTAATTTTAGGAATAATAGGAAACACTAGCTTGACTGGTGAATAATAAATTTATGAGTCTTCATCCAAGTCATTATTCAGGCTAAGAATATAAGTAAGTTTACGAAAAAGTAGATTAGTCAGTCAGTGGTTCTATGGCATTTGCTCACTGTTTTATAAATTTGTATTTATACCAGAGGCCACAAAACTACTCAGATGCAGGCATCTTAACCAACTGGTAGCAATATACCCTAATTTCAAAGTCAATTTTTGATCAATGAAGCTTTCATTGATTGGTAAGCTTAAATTTAATAACCACAGTGCCACAGATATATAATGGTGCATACTCAAAAAATATATACGTATGCAAAATACTGATCAAAATAGCTACCTGGGTGTGTGTGTGTGTCTGTACTTACTTGAATGCATGTCTGTGTCTTATATTCAACACTGCTTTTTCCTAGTTCCCTTCTAATAATAAATGACACTATCTTTGGCTTGCAACCATTTTTCCTGCCAGCACGATCACAGGAGTATATGCATACTTTTGGTAGCTGAGGATATATCCTTGGCAGCATAGTTATGAAAATCTATAAGATATTTATTTACAATTCAAAATTAATGCTACATCTTAAAACCACTTTTACTTTTGGAGTTTAGCACAAATGGCAGTAGTTTTCTAACAGTGAGAAAACATGATTTTTATAACCTCCTTTGACTTTTATTAAGTATTGTATTAAAATATGCAACTAGTAAGATTTCACAGATTTCAGAGCTGTGAGCAGTTTTTCTGAATCTCTGACTTACTGTGATCATGCAACAAAGACAAAATTAGAAAATACCAGATATGTTCATCTCTAGTTAAAACATCTGATTTAAAATTTGCTCTTATTTTCATCTGAAAATTTCCTTTCCAGGGTTATATGTCAATGTACAAAATGTCCAATTTAATGAACAGTATTCTTTCAAGTGGCAGTTAGGTTTAAAAGGGGAAACAAACCTTTTTGAATTGAACATATACATTCTCAGTCTAAACATTGAATTAATGTACTTTTTGTTATATGATTTCCTTTTCAACATCAACATTTTAACAAGTGAAATACTCTGGAGACACTTGGAAAAATGGAATCCTAGACAATGATGAAACCCAAGTCTTTTCTTCACTCTCAAATCTCCTATCACTGCAACTTCCAGATTCTGCCTTTACTTAGCATTAACATTCACTTCCCAAACAATTTACCCAAGTGAGGAAATGATTACACATGTTTCTGTGCTAAGCGGAAGGAACCCATGCAGAGCAGGAGGCTCTGATATGGTTACAGAGATAATTGATTGAGAAAGATCCCTGAGGATGGAGGCAAGGATGGATCCCAGAGTCTATGGATGCCTCTGCCCTGTGGGAGGAGAGCATCTTTCCCCACTGATATAGTAAGGAGAGCCACATGGATCTGAGTTGATGAGAGACATGATGTTGGGAAATTTATTCCTAGAGACTTCGTTTTCTCTGCAAAATCTAAAACAGAGAATTTTAAATTGAAGGAGTAAGATAAGTGAAGAGAAAGTCAGACCATGTGGATATATGAGATAACAAGTTCATTAAGAAAATGGTTGGTTGAGTAAATCAAAAAAGGAAGATATATGGCAAAATGTTCATTGTTACATATAAGTGTAACATGTAAGTGATGAATACATAGGTGTAGATTATATTACTTTTCCTACCCTTTATCATGCTTTAAACTTTTTATAATAAAAAGGGAAAAAGAAAAAAATTTCACTTTCTTTCAGTTCCTAAGCTGGTAGGCCGGTATTAATTTTTCATATGTCTGAACATTCCATCTCCTTGCCTCTATTCTGAGTCAATAAAGCTACATCCTACATTTTTTTAAAAAGGAATATATAAAGGTGATATTGCACAGTGCACTTTCAATAACCTAAGCCTTATTATATGAGGAAATTGTTAGTCTTCCTGAGGATTGCAAAATAATTTACGAGGAACAGAGTCTCTGAATGTTCTTAAACATTGTGTATTTTTAATTAAAAAATTATGCATGACCAATTCTCCCTCTAGTTACCATTCTCTTGCTTTATGTTAGAGTCCAAATGTAAGATGCTGATTAACTGAAATGTCACACATTGAAAATAAGTTAGCCATTAAGTGTAACGGAATAAAGGGCTTTTTATTAATACATGGAATGATGGAGGATCTGTAACTTTGTTAAAATACACTGATGTTAAAAGCATTTTTGAAAGAATTGGAAGAAAAGTGCTTAATATTTTCATTTAAAAATAGACCTCAGTAGTCAGAATTATAGCTCTCATTGTGCTCTTTTCTACCATCTCAAAGAATGCCTTGCTCTAAATAAAGCCAACAGATCCCGAACATTGACTTGGCGGTCAAAGAACTCTAAATCTCAGAACTGCCACATTTCCATTTTAAATGTAAATATTCCCATTCATCTTCCTAAATATTATATTTCTTCTCCCCCCTTCCTCCCACCCCAGTGTCATAGTTTATGCAACAGCTGACAGCATCTTTTGTTCCCTTTTGTGGTGCACACTAGCTGCCACAACTGACTTTGGCATCCCCTAGCTTGGAAACAAGTTTTTGTGCAGGTCGATTGGCCAGATTTCATAAGAGGAAGAATAGAACAAAAAATGTTTCTTCATAATGCCATTCAATGATTTCCTTTGCAAATCTGCTTCCTGAAGTTTTGCAGATGCAGAAGTCATAGAACAAGTCGGTGGGCTGGGAACTGCATTGCATTTTTAGTGCTTCTAGAAGCAACATCTCCAGCCTTTTAAATGAGAGTGAAGTGATGGATTTGTAGGTATTTGAAGAAACAGATGCGCTGGAAGGGCAAAGGTTACTTTTATAAATTAATTTATAGTTGATTTACAATGTTGTGATTCTTTTTTTAAAAGCAAAAATCAGGATCTTACTGCATAACATTTTTCAAAAGAGAGCAAGAGAGAAGAAAAGACCCATTGTGTATTTCCAACCAAAAATTCTCATTTTCCTTGATGTACACAACATCGGCATATTTCAGCAAAGAGAACCTTATAGAATAGGACAACTTTAATCGGTCATTTAAGTTTAAAATGGTTGCAATATTATGTTAATTGAATTGTTTTTCTTTTTTAGGGTCCTCTGGGGCCTCCAGGACAAAAGGTAGAGTATAAACAATATTGTGAAAGTAATTATATCCCCATCGCCTAATGACTGGCCTGAGAAGGGAACGGAATTAGCTACTGTGAGCCATACCAAAGTAGTCTGGTTTGTGCATTCTGCTTTCTAAAAATACAATCATATAATGTGAGCCATTAGATTTCTAATTGACTCCATTATAGAAAGTCCAATAAATCCAGAGCAGACTTTTTTTAAGCTGTCTGCCAAACTTGTAGGTTGTTGAGTTTTTAATTCCAGTGCTAGTAAAACATTGTGACAAAACTTAGAATCTTTAGGGTCATAAGACATTGCAAATTAAATGCATGGTCTTGCACAAATATATGATTGTCAAAGGACCATTAAACAGACTAGAACAAAGAATGTATTTATTGCTTGGTGGCTATATTCAAGTGGCCCACTAGTATCTCCCTTTGCTGAAGCAACCCAAAAAAATGGCTTCCCAATTGTTATTTCAACATTATCCAGAGCCATCAGACTTGACCCTTTACATTTTGGAGAAGAGAGTCTAACACTTCTAAAATTACCTCAATTCTACAGTAGTAAATGCATCAATAGCAGGTAGATAGCCCTTTGCAAACAAAACATCACTAAACTCCCACTCCCCATCCACCTCCCACGCTACAAGGAGGACATAAAAGGATATTTAACCTGCAGAAAACCAAAAATAATAATAATAATAATAATTGCATTACAACAGGTGGAAAAGTGATTATTCTTTATCTTTGGAATCCATCAAAGATAGAGACGTTTATCCTCCAAGCTTGTGCATGTGGCATCTGTTGAAAGATGATCCCACAAACCAAGTAAAAGCCAGTGTGTAGTGAGACTACTTGTGTATAGGAACACTTTGTCCTTCGCAATAATGTCTCTATTAAGTATGGTGTGAAATTGTAAAGCTACCCTAATCCACATGCTACCAGGATAAAATTACTGCCTCAGGCTTTAGGAAGTCCTTTAATGACCCACTCAATACAATCACCAAGAAAGACTAAGAAACTTGCCATCTCAATTTTTTTTTGCATGAAATGACTATATTTTTAATAGACTTTATTTTTTAGAGAAGTTTTAGATTTCTAATTACTATTTTAATCTTTTCCATTATTCTTTAAAAATTTTAATATCACATATCTACTAAGAAAAATCTGTTTTATAGTGCTAAACAAAAAATAAGCACATTCTATTTGAAAAATTATTTCTCCAGAGCCTCACCAGAAGGTGTGTGGAGGAAAATGACATCACTATTTGAAAACATTTGTTACTGTTTCTGTATCTAGTTAAATGTCAGACTTTCTCAGGTAGTGACTACTTTTCTTTTCTGATGCCCAGTCATTCTCATCACCCCAGTGCTCATGTATGCACACATCCAAGTGTATGTGCATACACACACAGACGACATAATATTCAAAGTATAGAACTGGTATCGTTCCTAGTCTATGCACACCATTTGCGGCATCCTGCCTAGTCCACTTTGGAAGATATATTCACCCTCACATGGTTTAAACATACTCCCTGAGTCTGAGGGAAATGCTTCAAATACAACAAATTTCACTTTACAACATGGGTTCCTAATAGTGGTTGTTATTTTAATTACCTTTTATTTTATGGTATTTAATTTCGTGAAATTCAAGAGTTACTGGTACAGCTAACCTTTTTTGAGATGAAACTAAGCCTATTTAATTCTCAAAAGCACCCAAATTTGGAGCCATGAGGCCTTCTGATAGCTTTGGATCTCAATTTATGATGTGAAATTCTTTAAAATCTTATTAGGGTTAAGTAAATATTTACAAACATGGTGAGATTTTCATGGCTTCTGGAAAAGCTTGATGAGTCTGTTTACATTATTGTGTGTTAGAGCACAGTGGATGAGATCTGAAAAACATAGCCTGTCAGATATGTTTTAGTAAGATAAAGTTGTAACTGACATAATTAATATGACATAAATTTAGAATTGAATTATTTTGTGCTTATGATGTCAACTTATTTTAATCATACGTCTCCTTAGGGTTCTGTTGGAGTACCTGGAATTCCGGGGATGAATGGACAAAAAGTGAGTTCCATAGAATATACTGCTTTTGATCATTTGGGGAGGATTAAATCACAAAGTTGTTCTAATCAGTAATGTTGGTAATAAGTTTATATGCTTATAAAAATTTTATATATACTTTTGAAATGTAGGAAAACTATGTTGCAAATGATCAAATTATTTTAATTTTTAAATGAATGCATTAAATAGCGAAAAACTCTTAGACAATTTTTTATTTTATTTGATATATATGAGATACAGTGGTATCTTTCTCATAAATATATTTGGAGTAGGAAAAATATAGTACTTAACATTGATTGTGATAAAGTGCACTCTGGTTTATTCTTGTTATGGCAGACTAATATGTATTATTTCTTGCATTAACGAAAGTTATTCCTACAAAGAGATGCTATTGGAATCATGAATTCACATGCAAGCTTTTTTTACAGCTAAGCAAAATTAAGAATTAAATAGATTTGCTAAGCTCTGGTAGCATGCTTTTATTGTACTATTAATAATGAAGGGGAAAAAAAAGTAAAAGAAAACAACCCACAGCTCTAAACAGACATATCTATTGCCTGTGTGTACTTTTTCCTGCAACATACTTGCCAGTGGGACAAAGCAATTACCAAAGTCACTTCGGGCCAGTCTGCCAGGGGCCGGAGAGCTGAGCCAGGGACTTTCCTGTCTCCCTCAGAACTTCTGAGCTGGCCCTTTGCGATCCTGCGACCCTCCTTGTCTTCCCAGAGGACTTGAAATCCAGGCATTCTGAATTGAAATCATAAAGGGCCCAGCCCTTATGGACAGAATAGACCTCCTCCTGACCTCCTCTAGCTCGTCCATCTTTTTTCTCCAATGAGACATAGACAATAACAATCTAAAACCTACGAAGTGGCTAAGAACCTGGATCTTCAGCTCAGAGAATGTAAATTTTGACAGAGTCCTTGAATCCTCTGGCCTCAATTTCTTCATCTTTAAAAAGGAGACAAACAATTCCTACCTCATAAGGTTACTGTGAGGATTAAATGAGGAAATAGGCATAACACCCTTATGTCCATGTCTGATATTGCTATTAAACTTTTTCTTCAGCTCATTTTAGTGAATCCTGGATATTTGATTGACCTCTGTTGTAAGAGACTCTCTGTTTCCAGAATTCCTTGATTCCCAAGTAAAATTAATGTTCTTAACTAAATCTTATGGCAGCCTGTGGTCCATAAATCCAGCACTGGGCACTCATCAGCAGTTCAATGCCCGTGTTACTGCCCTGTTTTCCCCTTAGTAAAATGCATACCTGTTTGCTTCACAGATCCTGATAAAGACAGAGGATTAATATTCCATTTAGAATATTGTAGATCATGGAGGGAAACAGAAGTAAAAATTTGAGAGCATATTCATTCTATGTGGAGAAGGCAATGGCACCCCACTCCAGTACTCTTGCCTGGTCAATCCCATGGACGGAGGAGCCTGGTAGGCTGCAGTCCATGGGGTCACGAAGAATCAGACACGACTGAGGGACCTCACTTTCACTTTTCACTTTCATGCATTGGAGAAGGAAATGGCAACCCACTCTAGTGTTCTTGCCTGGAGAGTCCCAGGGACGGGGGAACCTGGTGGGCTGCCGTCTATGGGGTCGCACAGAGTTGGACACGACTGAAGCAACTTAGCAGCAGCAGCATTCATTCTATGATGAATTTGAAAATTACATAACAGGATAATATTTAGAAAGGACAAAATATAGATATAACATAAATGTTGTTTTTAATATTTGTACACATAAGGCTAATGTTTTGCTTTTACTTCTTTGTTTCTTTTTCAACTTTGAGATAATCATGAAAATTTATAGAAAACTTTACCCTGAAACAAAACAAGTCCACAAGTTTAAAACTGTCATATATATGCTTATGAAGACTGCATATTCTTTCTTTTTCCAAAAGAAGTATGCAATTTCCTTAGCAAGAGAAAGGAATGTGACATTTTCTTGTCCTAGTCATCAAGTTTAAATTATATTTCAAGGAAATAGCTAATATTTGTAGTTTTATATTTTGTTATACATCTTTGTGGCATTTTAAAGGGTTTTCTGTAAAATCTAGGAAAGCTAAATGATTTCATACTTTTATGAAAAGGTATCAGCAAAATGTAGTTCAACATTTTTTTAAAATTCATATAACTTAACTAAAACTTTGTTTATAGAATTTCTTTTAATGATAGCTATTATCTAACACCTGTAATATTTGCTATATCATCTTTAGGACAATAAAATACAAAAAAACCTAACTCTACATCACTGAAGTAACAGGACATTTGACAGTAAAAACAGAGTGGAAAATAGAGTAATACCGATATTTTACACTTAGAACTATGAACTTTGCCTTGGTTCTCTAAAATTTATGTTTCTAGAAGGAGAGCCTGAAATCACATTAATAATTTTTTAAGCACCTTGATGTTCTTAAGCTTCAGAGAAAATATCTTCTTTGCATGATACAATTTCATTTTTTCCCAGAGAAGTACTTTTGATGCCTAGATCATTTTCAAGTACTGGATATCCTCCCAGGATATCCTTCAAGAAAGGATATTATTTCTAAGCTATCAGAAACATGGCAAATAACTAGAAAATTTTTAGAAACTTCTCTATTATAAGAGAGAAAGAAAATGACTATATTAAGCAAATATTTTACTTGTCTTCCACTAAAATATTTTCCATCCATTCAGATTGAGATGATTGATTTTGGCCAGTAGCTTGATGTGATTTTTTTTTTTTACATTATTTTCCTTTCAGTTTTGGCAACTCGATTGTTAATCTGAGTATTTCTTATTTTAGTAATGGTCCTCCAATTCTTCAGATCATATTAGGAAAACAGACTTACAGAAGCAGTACCATGGCATTAAACTCCAGTTTAGCCCCTTCTAGCCTAATAATCCATCAAGGGCTACTAAACACCCTTCTGTGAAAAGTGGGAAACAGTGTGGTATGTGGTCTCTGCAGTCTGAGAGAGGAGGCGTCAAGTCTTTCTCCTCCTTTGTGTGAGTTACTTAATGTTTCTAAGGCTCCAGTGCAAAATATTAATATAGACTTTGCAATATTAACTACCTTATATGTCTAAAGTGAACATAATGTAATAGGTGCTCAATAAATATTATCAACTGTCTGTAGTATTAATAGTGTAACACTTGAAGAATTTCAACAAATGAGCCCTAGGCTTACCCTCTAACAGGACAAGAAGCCAGGAAAAAGATGAAGGTGTAAACTCACACAGGAAGGTAAAATACTTCTCTGCTACCTGCTATGTCTCCAGTCGTAATGCACCCATTCCCAATAGTGGGAATACAAGTACCATAGAAAGGAGAAAGACATTTCTCCCACTGCTTTGAAAGCTCACTCACTGGTGTGGGTTCCTGTAGGAGTGCTGTCTGGAGTCAGACACTCTGCGCTCTTCCGCCTCATGTGCAGCCTGTGAAACTTCTTCCTATATGGGCTCAGGGTGGCTTCATTATAGAGTGAGAGAAGGTGCTGTTCTAATTTATATCTAAGTCTCTAAGACGTACTGTGCATCCACAAAAAGTCACAGGTGTCTCTTTTCCATGCTCTGTTCCCAATTCTAAAAGCAGTTGTTTCCATAATTTGAACTTGTTTCCAATAGCCAGAGTAGTTAGGGAAAATTTAATGCTAGGTCTTACCTAAAAAGAAATAAATGTTGCCTTCTTTGCCTCTGGCTAATTTATTTAGCACAGAAACTTTTGTAATTCTCACAAATAGATCTTGTTGGTTAAAATATATTATAAAAATTTTATTTATGCTATTGGGTTCATTCCCCCTCTCTCTCTCACACACACACAAACACACACACTCAGGCACATAATACATACATGTCAAGATACGTAACTGCATGTGTGCATGCTCAATCGTGCTCAACTCTGTGTGACCACATAGACTATAACCCTACCAGGCTCTCTGCCCATGGAGTTTTGCAGGCAAGAATACTGGAGTGGGTTGCCATTTCCTACTCCAGGGGATCTTCCAGACCCAGGGATTGAACCTGCACCTCTTGCATCTCCAGCATCTCCAGCATTGGCAAACAACTTCTTTACCACTGTGCCACCTGGGAAGCCCATATAACTGAATGTTTGTCAACTAAACTCTGCTTCTCAGATATATTGAAAAGTGGGCTTCAAAATAATTTTGTGGTAAAATTTTTTTTAGACTAAATAATGCTCGACACAATAAATGGCTGGTTGTATGTATATCTCAGAACTTTAAAAATCTCAACTCTTAACATGTTATTAGAACCCTGAATTTTTCTACTGTTTTCACCTTTTCACATTAGGAATAAATCATCATAATAACAATGTATTTGAATAGCAAGCAGTGCCCAGCACTGTGCAAATGCCACAGGAGAAGAGAACTAGGGATAATGAGGGAACATTACAGGTCTACTTTGTGCAACCCTTAGTTCACATCCTTATCTCTGTTACCATAAAATTAACATTAAAGAGTTTCAGGATTAGGAACAAATTATTTTGTCTAAGCAGGCTAGAATTTTTCTGAGGACCCAGAATCATAGGGATTGTTTCCAAAGCAAAAGATAAGTATTGGATGATCTTGTTTCATGTATTTTTCAAATGCTTGCTAGGGTTTATTATATCTAAAACTTTAAATACAATATAAATAAAATATTGATGTTAATGTATCATCCATGAATCTATCCCAGATAACTATGTGATTTTTTTAAGTAACATTAAAATTTAATTAGTTTATGGCTATGGTATTTAGAGTTCCTTTTCATCTCTTATCCATGAGTCTCACAGTTTTTCACTGACATTAATCCTCACAGCATACTTCTAATGACATTTTTATTGTAAGTATATTTAGAGAGCAGATAAATGGAAGCCCTCAGACTTTCAAAGGTCAAGCTGTTTATTCAAGTCTATACAGTAAGCTGCATACAATGAACTCAATACTTTTTTATTCCTGATTCATTTTCTGCAACCACTAAATAAAACTCTTCTCTTTTGCAGCCTTGACTTTA